AGTGTATTTTTCTCGTTGCGGAAAAATCCAAGGTTGTGCTGCAAGTGATGTGGAGATTGACTCAGATGACTTGTTTGCTCTGTGTTATTATATTTAAGGTAATAGCGTGACATTTGGGGTTTCAGGAGAGTGTTTGATTTGTGCCTTTCTCTCAGGTGGGAGGTGGATCTGATTGCTGTGTAATTAATTTCTAGGTATAGCCCCTTGTGAGGCTTACATATAAACTGCCACAAATTTGTATTTTAGTAAATAATTTGCCAGAAGATACATAAGGAAATTGGTCTCTTTGAACGCTTACACACCTCACACTTTATAAGTGGCAAGGAAGATCGTTCCCAGTTTCCTAGTTCAGCCCTGTTAACAAGGGTGACCACCAGCTCTTCCTTCGTGGTCCAGACAAGGCAACACCAGGAAGAGGAAGCGGCTAACGATGGCAAACATGTTTCAGTCAGCACTGTGTCCAGGCCAGGATTATACCATCCTCCTTACGAGCTTGCTTCATTTAAGTTACTTTTGTTGGGTCTGTTCTTGAAGTAGAAGAAATCTCTACTACGTGTCTGTCATAGCCCTGGCTGGTGTCAGATGTTGCTCTTATTTAGTACCCACCGGTCTACAACAGTAAGATACACAGCTGGTATTTGTTTTGCTTGCAGTTTGTATGCAGTGTTGGTCTGAAATTGAGCTTCTTACGTGCAGTTGTCTCTTTGTCATGTCATTTCAATCTTTCGGGATTTGTGTGTGTTTGGGTGGTTTCTTTTAATCCTAACAGAAAAAAAAAGAAAAAAGACAATCTTGAAGCTCTCCTGCTCAGCAAGAAAAGTAATGAGGCACTAAGCATTGCAGCTATTCCAGCTGGAGGGTGTTGCCTGATTGTTTCCAAACCCATCAAAAGGACTTTTAAATGAGTTCTTTTTTACCAAAGAAAGCAAACACAGAATCGGTCTTGTCTGCCTCCTAAGTTGTTATAAATAATGTTTCTAAACTTAAAACACTGCTAAGGTTTTTGATCAGCAAAGATAATATTTTTTGAAATATAAATTATTGCATTTTGAATTTTTAAAAAAGCACAGGTTAATACACATGCAAATTACATGCTGTTTTCCCATATGAAGTGCCTGATAGAGACACGAATGGCAGTGAAACATTTCACAGGTTTTATTACAGTGCTTTATTTGATCTATCATGAATCATTTAGCTGCTTTAGTGAAAAGACTTTAAGACCTGTTTCTTCTGTGAGCATTGAATATCTGGTTTCAAGAGGAGTGTGGTTAAGTCAGAAGAAGAAGAGAAAATAGTTCTGTGGTTAAAGAGGGGGCAGCATCTAGAGCCATGTTATATGTGGGTTTGGGGGGGGGGGAGGTTGACAAATTGTTCCTGACGTAAGAACTTATACCATCGCTTGTCCACCAGTAGAACAGAATAAAATAATCCTTGCTGCCTGTATGGGAAACCTGATCCTGAACTTGCATAGTTTAGGCCATAAGTGAGCTGCCTGACTGGCAAGATTTAGATGTGCAAATTATTCCACAGCCATTTACTATGGGTTTTCTTTTGTCCTCTGTTGTAGCAACTGGCATCAGACACTGGTGGAGACAGGACTGTTTTTCTCAGAATCAGTGCAGATATGCCTGTGTTGCTGTAAAAGTCCTTCAAAGTCGCAAAAGGGTCGTGTTGTTATCACTAAAATTGCTTTGTTGCCTGTCCCATCCTTGCGTACAGACGTAGCCCCACTGAACACGGCTGGTGCCTTAGCCTGGAGTCTGTGATACGAAGGCAGCGCTGACTCTGTGTGTATCACCGTATGTGTTTCTGGTGGGGATTTTTTGATTCTGTTTTCTCTTGATAATAGAATTTTGACCTTCGTGGGGAGTCAGGAAGCAAGCTCATCTTGCAAATGCATCTCAGAGAAATACTGTCACAGATCAGGCGTTCCTCTATAAGCAGTTCTTTATAGGCTTCGTGGTGCCTTGGTGTGTGTCTCGCAGCACTCGAGGCTCCTCTCTCTTTATACACGTGCTTTGTCCCCGTTAAGAGATCAGGAAGATTTGCTTATTTTTGCCCAAACCTGAGCACTGAGGCATGTACAGAAATGTGAGCATCTGAGTAGTCCCACGTCCATTAATGGACATCATTGAACAAGGTTAGCGTATGCCTGAGTTTTTCATGGACCTGATTTCTAATGTAAATGTACAAGACTTTTTTTTTCACTGCACTGTATTTTCATAGAGGTCAGTTTGAACTGTCCTAATAACACGTTCTCTCTATGTTGCCTTTATTGTTCTTAAAATGTAGTTTCCAACTACTTACACTGCGAATGGAAGTTCAGCATAGATCAGTGAAGGCCTAATGTTCTTTTAGCAAGGATACTCTGAAGAGCAGTCTTTCTGGGCGAGATTCAAACATTTATCAAACAAAAAGATGCAGAAATAGGAGCCGTGTAGAAGAGGAAAAGGACACTGGGAGTCACAGTTTTCAAGAAGTTTTTCTATTTCAGAGCTGCACTCTGCTCTCTTCCCTCGCCTTCGTACCACACCTTTATTCCAAGAGTGACTCAGGAATGACTCCTCTAAAATACATGCAACCAATTACGGTTTAAAATCCTGATTGGGGGAAATAAGGACTGAACGTCAGCTTAAATTGGCTATGTTTTATGTGTCCAGAAATAAGTTTGAGGTTTTTTTCTGTTTATGTGCTTCACTTACTCATGCCAGATATTTCTCTCCTCTGTATGTTCACTGAACAGTGTCTAATGCCGGGTGGCTTTATTCTTCTGAGAGCCTGCATTCCCTAGCTCATAACGTTTTCTAAAATGTGATTGCATTCAGTCTGGAATGTCTAATTATCTGAAAGCGGGCTGCTATGTCTTGATATGTTTCAAACGCTGTAGTGGTACAACAAAATTAAAATCAAAAGGAGAAGGCGAATGATTAACCTTACACCAATTACCAAAGGTAATAGTAACCTTAGCTGGATTTCTGATTTGTTTGTTTGTTTCTTTTCAGGTGGAGGTTGCGACAGATGTTGGGCTTCAATATAAAGGAGAACTGACAGTTGTTTTACGTTACATTCCCCCAGACAGAAACCTAATGCTTCCTCTAGGGCAGTTTCAAGGTAAAAGAAACATTAAGGGCAGCACAAGATAACATCCCTCTGCGTATTAAAAATCCTCACTTAGGGTGAAGTAATGGTATTAGTGAAGATTGAAATCATACTTAAATATGCTAGTTGTCTTTATCTGTGGAAATTCTGGGCAGTGAGTATGTTTCTCCTGCTCTGTCCTCTTCTCTTACATTGAACTTAAGGAGAGAGAAGGGAAGAGGAGTGTGCAGTCAAGTGTTGATGCATGGCTGTGACCTAATTAAAAAAGAATTCAGACATTAGATTGAGGGCAGCCACATAGAAATAAACTATCTACATCATAGTCTGTGGGTTCTTTGTTCAGCTAGTTGTACACAGTGTATAGCTGGTCAAAATAGTAGATTTCCCTTAGTTCTTCATGCTTAATTGTCCTTAAGCTTACCTATCTCCTTATTTTCACTCTTTTTCCACATTTCTTTACTTCTGATCAGTTTTACTGTATTACTGCTTTAATTCAGTCCTGTAAAATATTATTTGAACTATTTAGGGTAAGCCATTATATTCATCAGCAATGAACAGGGGAAAATAGTTACTAACTCTTTGCATTACAGTAGCCTGAGGAACAGCAATCATCTGAAGTGAAAGCAAACACTGGGTAGCACCTGGGCGTACATGAATATAGCAGACACAGCTGTGTCACTGTCTTAGTGACAGTATTGCTTGTTAGCACTAGGATTTGATAGATATGTGAGATTTCTTTCTTCTCCTTTTTCTTTCTTTTTTTGACAGATGACATTCCCTCTGCTAGCAGTAATTCCAAGGTTTTCTCTCTTACAAGCTAACTGTTGTCTGAAAAGTCCAGATACACACTATCTGCATTTTTTTAAATTAGAACATTTTAACATCGCTCCTGATCTTTTTTTCTGATGTTTTCAGCCTGAATCGGTGTGTACGATCCCTGCTGATAAGCCTCTTAGAATCTGCAGCAGTAGCAAGTGCATGTGTCCTCGTGCTGCTGTTCAAAGTCAGTGAGCACCGGGTCCTGTGTCACGGTCTCTGAGGAGAAATGCATCCTTACGCATGGAATGCATTCAGTGTATTTCTGCATTTTAAGCTTTGGGACAGAGGTTTTATACCTTGCTTGTGGTGTAGGGCTGCCTTAACATCAGTGGTGGAAGTGGATTCTGAAAAGAGGGTAGGATTTCCAGGACATGCAGTTCTTTGTGCTCAGCATAGTAATTCGTAAATACTTATACTGGGACAGGTTTTGAGACAGGCCACCCTGTTGTGTCCAGAGAGGACTAGCTAGTTACATGCTCAAGTTCTTTATAATATATGGAGTGATTTTTCTGCCCCTGCCTTATTAGTTTTTCTACCTATACAGAATCAGAATCTCCTCATAATGAATACTTTAATCCCATTGCAGTAAGTGATTAGAAAAAAATCTAGCCAAGACAATTTACATTTCCAAATCAGTCTTGCAGTGTATATATCATTTTTGATGATGATGTTGCAACTCTGTTCTATGTATAGGAAAGAAGAGCTTTAAAAAAGGAAAAAAGAGAGACTCTCACATGCCATCTGGAGGTATATTAGAAGTCCTCATCAAAGAAGCAAAGAATTTAACAGCGGTGAAATCAGGAGGCACATCTGACACTTTTGTGAAAGGGTCTGTGTTTTTTTTCCTCTCCATTTTTTTAATGGCTGCACTGAATCGTATTTTGGCTGAGCCATTTTTTTCCCAGTATATCTGTATATGTGTGTTTGGAGTGTTGGTCCTGAAAAGCAACTGGCACCTTCAAAGGGTATGCTGAAGAGACGGATGCTGTGGAATAAGGGCAGAGAGGTATAAGTTGTCCCAGTGGTTAAATACAATTGTATTTAAATACCACTCAGTCAAGAAACTGAACCATTCATAAGTAAGTATCCAGTGTGCTAATGTGCATGCTGTTATAGAATATAACATTTGGTAAAACAAAACACTTCCACTGAGTCGGCAGAGAGAAGTAGGTGAATATTCATCACTCCTGGAGGCAAGAAATTGTAAATTAGGGCTTTCATACTGGAGATGATACCTGATCTGATGGTGACAATTACATTTTCAGGAAATTGAAACAGTACATATCTTTTACTAAAAAGAATAGCCAGACTACATCCTGAATAAGAAACTTGTTTTCAGGAAGATACAAGTCTGTTTGGATTACTTGTAAAACTGCAAATGACACCTATAAAAGCTGGCATGCTCCATCAAGCTGAGATTCTTTCTAATGGATGTCACCTCAAACATGCAGAAAGAGAAAATTCATTGTGTGCGTGAGGAAATTCTGTTTTGATTCAAGTAAATATGCTAAATGAGAAAAGATTTGTATCTCATGATATAAATAGTTTTGGGGTTTTGTTTCTAGAGCTTAATTGGGAAAGCTCTTTGGCATGTAATACAGTCTCCAGAAGCACATTTAAATCCTGAGGGCTGCCAAGAAGTCTATCACTGACTTCAAACACAGTGTCTTAACTCTAATTGTGTCATTGTTAACATTTAATATTCTTTGACAGAAGATGTTTAAAAATTCTGCTCTGATGGCTTTCAGGTTTGATTTTAAAGATGCGTAATTTTGAAAAATGTAAGGTCTGTGTCACTTATCTGCCTGTATGCATGTGGGTACATAAAAACATACATAGTGTGACATATATGCACTTTTTTATTAGATAAGCAGCATTTTGTGGTGGACGGACAGTCAAAATCCAAACTGTACAGAAAATGCTACATTTAGGATATAGTTGTGTTTGGATAAAATGAACATAATCCTGCATGACTCATTATATTTGATTTTTCATAAATGTAAGTTACGCATTAGAAATGTTATGTTTAGGAAATAATAGCTTAAAACATTTTTCTTTGCCAGGTTTTGCTCTCAATGCTAGCTTTCAGAATTGCTGATTTTTAGATATGCTGTCGTTCATTAGTAAATGGTTTGAGTGTTGCTACTAAATGGAGAAATCATCTTGGCTTTAATTCCTTGGTGGAGCTGAGAATTTATCTTGATCTTGTAGTGTGTTTCAAACTACCCCTAAGCTCATACGCTTCATGCAGAAAAGGTTTGAGCTATTCTTCCTATGTATTTGTTCTCTCATGCCATCTCTCTTTTCCTGATACAGGTGAAGGCATTTCCTTTTACTGCAAATAGACTGTCTCATCCCACTATGTCTTGTTCCCACCTGGAGCTCGCAACAGACTCCAGAGAGAAAATGTTGTCAAAGCCTTTTTACATTAGCAGTAGCAATGTGTGGCCAGTAATTCTCTGGACTATCCTTTGTTAGTGGTGTCTGCTATTGCTGACATGGATTATTCAGTACAGTGGAACAGGCGTCTGTTTCCAATGGACTATCGGTCTGTCATGCGTCACGGCCAAATGCATTGGCCAAATGCATGCATCAAGTTGCCATGAACCTGTTGAGGTGCTGTAGTGATCTAATCTGCACTGTTAGCTTGAGGTAATTTGACATAGATTAGCCCGTGGTTAGCCCACTACAGTAAACTAGCTCGTGTTTGTTGTCAAGTAAAAGCCTGCACAGTAATCCTGATCAAGGTCTAGTGATATAATTTGTTTGCGTGTCTGACCCTTTAGTGTTTATATGCAACCATGTAGTTATTCCATTAGGTTTGCTGAAGGAGGTGAAGGTACAGACTAGGAAAATTTGTACAGACCTCTGATTTTCAACTAGAGTATTAAGTTATTTTGTTTCACTAAAGTAATTCTCCATTAAAAGTAAAATGTGAAGAGCTTGTCAGACTTTACAGCATTTGTGTTTCTGCACTCACTGGGGCTTTCAGCAACTCAAATTAATGATGCTAACCTGCTGAAGTTCCTTCCTTATCAGGAAGGTTCCTATCCTCTACGTGGTTTAGGCCCAGCTGGAAG